TTTACTCTACAAAGCAGTATTAACAAAGTAAACATTTAAATTAAGAAGTTCAAGCCTTAATGATCACTGTCTAGATAAATGCTATAAAGTAGGTTAAGTAAGAATTGCTTTATATGAATACCACAGAATTTTATAAGGTTGCTTATTGTAATTTAAAATAACGCTACAGGGAATATCACTGTGGCATCTAATATTCTTCCTAATGGAGTATGTGATTATGAACATCTAATAACATGGTGCAAGTAAATAACGGTTTGCAACATTGGCAAATTTAACAGGTTAACAAAGCGCATATTACAAAGGCCTGAGAGTCTTGTTTATAATTAGTGCCACTCTTTTATACCAAAATATAGATCCGGCTAAACTTTGTGTCTTGGTTTTCAAAGGGTTTAAGATTCCAATTTTAAATTAGGAGATGCTTAATAGAAATGTTACTCAAATTATTTTCTCTGATAAAATATGCATAAGTATAAATTTTGAGTATGGAGACTCCTTTTCCTTCACTATGTGATCCAAAACTTGATACAGTGGAGAAGATGTAAATGAAATTTTCCAGAAAAGCAAAAATAAGTCAGTTAAGAGTGCCCATATAGTTTGCTTATCAACAGACCTTATTTAATGATAAATGGCTTTTTAAAAATTCCATCAAGGTATGTATTTAACTTCCACTAACTAATCAAAAATGTCAGTGGGAATATAGACCAGTATAACCACTATTGAAATTAATATGGAGATTTCTAAGAAAACTAAAAAACAGAGATTTCTTTTAAGCCAGTTATATCACTTCTATGTATATTCCTGAAAGACTTAAAGACATCACCTGACAGTGACTGATGCACACCCATGTTTACAGCAGCAACAGAACTCGTAATAACTACATCCTAGAAATAGATTCTATGTCCACCAACAGAGAAATGGATAAAGAAAAAATATATAAACTGAAGTACTACTCAGCCATAAAGAAGGATAAATTTGAGTCATTTGTAGGAAAATAGATATACTTTGAGACCAAAGTACTAAGTGAAAGAAATTAGACACAAAAGGTTCAGTATCACATGACTGCTCCTATGAGAAACCCTAAGTATAAATAATTTACAAAGTAAAAGAGATGATAAGAAACAGGAAGACAGACTTTGTGGAGATGGGCAGCGGATCTGTGGCAATGGGAGGCAGTGGAGGGAAATGGGAAGTAAAAAGGATCAAAACGCAGCATGTGTATGTACCAGTTCCCTATGATGAATGTATTTGTCATGTGTTACAAATGTACCAATAAAAAGGTTTCTACAATATATAGCACAGTTTTTTAAAATTCTGGAGTTTCAGTGACTGTTTGGTTTGGGTAATTTTTGTTATATTATAAGTCCTGTATATGTAATTAGACATGGTAATTTCTCATTACAGAGCACTATTTTGAAAAATCTGATGGATGATTATTTAGAACTAGTGCTGAACTGAAATTTAAAGAGATGAATTTATCACTTATAACTACATTCATAGTAAATTAGTTGTATAGGTGTTTTTCCCTAATAAATTAAAGAATAACTCAATGCATGTGTCATATCTAGAATAAAGGCTCAATTAATGTTTGGTTGAATAAATTAGTAGTGAATTAACTTTGACTTTGAAATTATTTCTTTTCAAGCACATAAGAATAATTTTAACAGGTACATATTACTTAAATATCTCCTAAAACTCTGCAATTGTGTGTTGTGTTATATTTTCCAAGATAAAGTCACCTATGTAACTGTGTGTGCTAATTATAGCAGATGTTAAGACCTTATTATTTTTATTTTGCAAATAAGCATGATGAAGTACTGTGAGGCAAAGTGACTTGGTGGTAATAGCGAACACAGTTACGTCGCAGGCAGAACCTGTGTCTTTTTACTTCCTCATGACTTTCTTTGCAATCACAAGCACTAGCTACTGGATTCAACTTTCTCATAAAGCTCTCATTTTGTATTGGTTCTACTGTCCAATTCTTTCATGTAATCTTTTCTCAACCATTTCATGCTTATTTTCTTTTCTAAATTCATATATATATATATGAATAGAAATTAGAATTATATATATATATATACTGAATAGAAATTAGAATTTGATTCTTTCCTGTGTTCTTTCTGCTGCAACATCATGAAAGAGTACAATGAAGTTGAATTGGAAAAAAAAAAAGAGGTTTCTGCTATAGATGTCCTACTACAAAGTGAATGAATTATGCTTGTGATGGGCAGGAGATGAGCCTAAGGCCTGAGCTGGGAACGAGAGTGCGGGTGTGAAATCCAAAGCCCTGGTACATAGCCAAGAACTTGCAGAGCCAACGTAATCATTAGGTGGCCTTGAAAGAAACTTTGCTCCACAGAGCCAGACTAGAGATTTATGGTATTTGCCTGCCTCAGCCTTGTCTCTGAGTGAAACACATGTGTCTTCTGTCTACTCCCAGTCATAGTGTGCATTCTACCTGTGTTATGGCTTATATCTAGATATCCCCCTAAGGCTCATGCACTCATAGGTGGAGTTTGGGGAGATGATTGGATCATGGATGTGCGGTACATTACTCTACTGATGAGTTTATAGTTGGGTGTGATGCTGGGGGGTGAAGCCTGGTGGGAAGAGGGGGGTCACTACAGGCACGGACTGCAAGAGTCTATAAATACAACCTTCCTCCTCCCTTGATGGCCCTCCGTTTCCTGAATGCCTTGCAACAAGCTCTTGTTCCTTTGCCATGTTCCTCTGCTATGCTACCTGGCCAGCTGACTATGGACTGAAATCCCTAAAAACTTTGAGCTAAAATAAACTACTTCTTCAACTTGTGGGTGTCAGGTATTTTGTCCCAGCAATGAGAAAGTAACTAAGACAACCTGATTTAGAATGAATTTCACAATATCTATATAATGATACTTTCTCCCTTATACTCAGGCTGAAAAATTTCATGTGATGTAACTTTGATAACATCAGTAGTCAGACAAAAACAAACACAAATTCTCTCTGGAGAAATGAGCTTTAAATTTAGGCCTTAAAAAAAGCTTCTAGAGATAAAATTCCAAAGCACATGGGCTCAAAAACCAAACCATTACAAGAAATGTTAAAGGAAAAAAATAGCAACAACAACCACAAGGCAGATCAGATTCACAAAACACCAATGAATTGGCAATATAAGCTACAGAATACACAGTATGTTTTCTTATTGAGGGTCTGATGGAGAAACAAGAGATACAAAATGGCAGACATGAAGAATGAAAGAGAACTACAAAACTTAAAATGGTCATCAGAGGGCTCAACTACATGGAAAACTGGAGGGCTGACAAGCTGCAGGCTGGCAACCTGACTCAAAATCATCAGTGCGGATCCCACAGAAGAGAGAGTTAGATGGATCCGAGAATAGAACATAACACATTCAGTGAGTCTCAGGACGAAGACTGCCATGGACTGAGGTGTGTGTGTGCGGCAGGGCAGTTGTAGACAGGGTTTACAGCAGCCCAAGGCTGAGGGTGGCTGGGCACCACAGTGAGGGGCTGGGGGAAGTTTCAGAGTTCTGCACTGGCCTCTCCTCAACAGGGACCGCTCACTGACATACAGTCGATCCCTGGGGGAACACAGCATTAAAACATAGTAAGTGCACACTATTGAATACTAGGTTGCTTTTAGGGGTAAAAGAGTAAATGTATACGAAACAAGATAGCTGAATTTTTAAAAACCTAGAGTTTAATAAGAAAATTGAGAAAGGTATGATTCATAGGTAATATATTTATGTAATTCAAAAACATGCACTCAAAATAATCATATATATGTTATAAAAACATACAGATAAATAGGTACACATCAACTAGGGGTTAGGGATATGAGAGAGTAAGTAAATAAAGTTAGAATGGGTTTATTTGGGCCAGTTACACATACCGTGAACATACTATGAACTAAAGCATGTAAGAAGTATGGTTACCTGAGATTAAAATATAAAGGAAAAAATCTCAGTGGAGGTGTTAAGGAGCACATTAGCTATACTCTATGAAAAGAAACTAGAAGACAAATCTAAAAAAACTACCTTGAATGTAAGTTAGATGTAAAACCTACGGGGGGAAAATGCCACACAGCATGGAGGATCCAGTGAGAAGATTTAAGGTCGTCTGAGAGAGGGAATATTCAAAGAGAATGGCTAAGGACATTCCGTCGTTGAAAGATGTTTTCCCAAATTTAAGAAGCAGCACATGACATGCAAGCATCATCAACAGAAAATAAGAACAACAAAGACAAAATGGACATACTAAAATAGAAGAAGCAGACTATATACTAAATCATTAAGCTGGCTGACAGCGAACCACTCAATAAGAAAGGAAACACTGAGAACATGAAATACTTTCAGAGAGCTAGGAGGACATAGTTATGAACCTACACTTGTGCACCCAGCAAAGTCATCTTTTAAGAATGAGGGCTGGACTGGGGCAGGGGGAGGAAAGGGACACGAAATGAGAAAATGAATTAACATGTGTTATGCCCATGTACAAACCACCCACAAGGAATACAAAGATCATGTATTGCAAACATGTGCTAAATAAAGAAAATGACCTGAAAAAAATCCAAATATAAAAAGAAAAAAAAAAAGAATGAGGACACTCAATAATCTCACTATTGATGTTTACCCAGTAGACCTGAAATCAGTTTGCTGAAGGACAGCTGCACTCTCAGGCTCAGAGCAGTACTATCCACAAGTCAAGTTACAGAACTGATCTCAATGCCCAGTTATGGGTGAACGTATACAGACAATGCTGTAATTATGTAAAGGGAATACTACTCAGCCTTTGAAAAGAAAATTAATTCTGTCATTTGCAACAACAACATGGATGGAAGTAGAGAACATTAGACTAAATGAAATAAGGCTAGATGCAGAGAAAGTAATTCCACACGATCTCATTCATCCAAATAAACTTACAGAAACAGAAAGCAGGATGGAAACTACAGAGGCTTAAGTGTGGGAAAGACGACGTGCAGATGACGGCCAAAAGACATAATCTCAGTTAAAGAGAATAACTTTATTATTTTTTAAATTTTAGTTCTACGGCGCAGCATAGTAATTGGAGTTAAGCGTACAGTATTGTATATTTCAAAACTGCTAAGAGAATACACTTCACTTGTTCTTATGACAAAAAGTGTTAAGTATTTGATGTGATCAATAGGTTATCTGGCTTGATTGAATTATCACACATTGTATTCATAACCTTAACATAATTTTGTACTCCATAAACTTCTGTGATTATAAATCTTAAAAAGGAAAAATAATGAGGCTGAAAGTAAAGCAATTTTAATCATCAAAAACAGAATTCTTACAAGCAGACCTTCAATATTGGAGAATTCAAAGCAAGCCCTTCAGTAAGGCAAAATAAATGCCAGAATATATTTAACTGCAATACAGATTTTTAATATTGTTTCAAAAATCGGTGTTTTATTAGTGCATGCGATTAACACAGAATGGTTAGGCCCACACTTAACATGTCCCAATCATTGTAAATCCCTTTTCCTCCCTTTTTTCTTTTTGCCTCTTTCTGATCCTCTTTCCCATGTCTAAAGATTTACCTTCTAGTTTCTTGTCATCTCTAATTTAAAATCCATTTCTTAAAAAAAACCTAGCAAATCAACTGGGCTTAATTATCTGCCTTGTCTATTTACGTACTGTAACAACATTTATGTTAAATGTCCTTGGTGATCTAAGAAATTTCATTACACAGTGCTATCATTAAAAGATAATATACAAATAAATCCAAATCCAAATAGTGAGATTTCAAGAACAAACACTCTATCCTAGTTTTTTAATTTATATAAATGGAAGAATTTAGCAAAGGGTTCATTGCAATATTGGCATAACCCTTATATTTTATGCTAAAGGCAAATGCTATAATCAATGGTTTCAACATTTGCTCCCATAATTAATCTAACACTAATTTCAAGAGCAATTGCTGATTATATAACAGGTTTTGTGTTTGCTTATATATTAAATCTTATCAGTGTCTAGCTTGAACATGAGGTATTATATAACAAAATTTCTGTACAAAGAAATACAGAGTATGTATGGATGATTAAAAATTGAAGTGAACTTAAAGCATTCAATCTACTGCAAAACTCATTTCATGCAAACATACCCTGCCAATACAGATATTATTGATATTACACTTTAAGGGAACATTTTCATCCAGTGTACTTCATGGAAATTTAATTTCCTTCTTCTTTGAGAATTTGGAACTTGTTCGACTCTGTCCATTTCCAGCACAATTTTCCAAAAGTACATAAAAATGTACTTATATATATGAGGGAAGAATTTGAGTGACTTTAAAAAATCTCACAGTACCAAATTAATTGCTGTGAAGGTACATGTACTATTATAGGTGAAATTGACAATAAGTAGAACTCCCCAAAAGCTTTTTGAATTTATCATCATGAAGTTGATTTGATGTCTATTTTTATGTCATCATCCTGTTTTGTTTCATGATAGGCTTTGTGACCAAATAAAAACTAAATGTGATTATATATAAAATATTAATTGGAACTCTTTAAACAAAAGAACATAGCAATTATGTTTGCAGAAACTAAAAACTAATAGAGAACTTTAAAACATTTAGATTCATTTTGTTTGATTTCTTTTCTTCCCATTTAGCTTCTCTAAGATTTTGCTTTATACCTAAATAAAATATCAGAGTTTGGATACTGAATACCAAAAAACAATCGTGTGTAGTTTAGTTTTATAGACTTGTTTTCAACTAGTTCTAAGTCAAAGTGAGTTAATAATACAAGCAACAATAGCTTAATTTCCATAATTGCCAAAAACCGGCCTGGACATTTGTTGGCTCCAAATCCGAAAGGTATTAAATAAAATTTCAGCCTTTTCCCTCTTTTGTAAAAAGTGGTTTTCTTCTTACCATCTTCTATAAAACGATCAAATCTAAACTCCTGTAAAGAAGAGTAGACAGTATTAGTATTAATATTTCACATGCTAGTTTTCCACACCTGTTTAAAAAGCTCTTTTCAATCTAATGCTGGAAAACAAAACTTCATTATTTACAAATCATATGTAAACTTTCAAAAAACTCAAATGCTACTAGGAAATTATTTCCTTTTATTCACGTGGAGTCCCCAAGCTTATATGAGTTCTTGTCCCTTTTCTTACTCCCTGCTAAGGTCTCAGTTGGCTTTCTGCTGCTATCACAAAATACTTGAGGCTGGATAATTTATGAACCAAAGAGGTTTACTTTGGCTTGTGTTTCTGGAGTTCGAGGAGTATGGCGACAATGAGGGCTTCATGCTGCTTTACCTCACGATGGAAAGTGGAAGGGCAAGTAGGTGCATCTGGAAGAGGCAAAATCTGAAGAGTGGCCTTACTTTATAATAAATCACTCTTCTAGTACTTACTCTAGTCTCAAGAGAGTGGGAACTCACAAGAAAAAAGGAGAAAGGCCTTAATCCCTCCTAATGCTTTAATTACCTTTTCAAGGCCCTATTCCCAACAGAGTCACAATGGCAAACAAATTTCAGTAAGAGTTTCAGAGGGAGAAAACTATATTCACACCAAGCACCTACACTGAGCTTTCCTTTTCCTTTTCTTTTTTTGACCCACACACTTTGAATTTGCTTTTATTACTCTCACTTGAGCATCAGTGTCATGAGGGAGAGACTTGTACCAATAGAGACTAGTAGCCAGCACTGCTACCCCAAGCTTTCCAAATACAGAGGCTGGATCTGTTTTTGTCCCCTCAGGTGGATCTTGATGTACTGGTCCTTCATGTACCAATTTTGGATAGGGGGCTCAAGTGATGCTGCCACTGTTATTAGGGGATGATATCTTCTAGGATCTATAGGTGCTGGATAACAATGGATTAATAATTGGTTTTTGTTTTAAGGCCTTCACAACTACCTACTGATGGATGAAGATATGAGTTTAAGATTGTGTATGCTTAGATTAACTAAATATAAAATAAGATTCAGATAAGTCACTAGAGAGAACTTATACCACAGAATAAAATTGCTTCTCTTTTGATATTGAAAAGAATTTGTCCTATGAAATTTCCATTAGAGTGAACTCTCTTTGAGTTAAATGTAAGGTAGCAAGTGTTTCTGGTATATTTTCATAAATAAATTATATTACTTGCTACAGAAAATTATGAGACTGGTTATCTAAGGTGTTTGGCTTTCGATCTTAATTTTGCCACACAGGCAAAGGTCGTGGTTCAACTCTCACTTGAGTTTTGTAGAGGAGACTGAGTGACCTTAATTCAGTCCATGGTGAATTAAACCATTGATTAAATTAATGCTCATGGCTCAAATGAAAATGACCAAGTACTTCCTGTAGCTGGTGCTCATTAGGATTAGATCTGCACAGCACACAACTTTGATATAAACCACATGAAGTCAAATGCAAATAAGTAGGTCAGAGCCAATGTATTTCAGGTATGGTGAAAACTCTGTACCACACGAATAGATAGTGAATCTACCAAAAATGATCTAATTTTCTTACTCAATCTCAGTACTGTTAATATCAGTGGATCATTTCCTTTAATAGCATTAGTGTTATCCTCCTTTACCTAGAGTGCTTATTTTGATAAATATTTGAGTTTACAAAAGCTGCAATTTGCAAGTTAATCCAATGATAATGGCAAAATTAATTTAGATTCTGCTAATAATCTAGGTAAATCTGCAGAAGCCCTCAAATAATTTAAAAAACTATTCACTACCTAATCAGTAGTTACCTAGACTTTATGAGTAGCATATATACATACAAAAAGAGGAAAGAAGAATCAAGACATGGTTTTTTTTTTCTTTTGCTCTAACACTCATTGTTGTAAATTTCACTTGCCAATATATTTTCCCACATTGGCAAGAGCTGCCTGAAGGCTTAATGTTACAATAAATTTAGAAATCAATATTCAGAAAAAAGATAACCATAACATGAAGTTTTGTGTTGGTAATTCATATGCCAAATTAGATATTAAAACATCTGCTCTTTAGCCCATATTGTTTTAAATGTTATTGTTACAAAATTTTAAAACTTCAGAACTTTACCCATCTGTTTAGTTAGGTTTTTTAAAAAAAAACAAAATGAGAAAGTAGGTCAAAGTGTGCAGAAGCTGAAGGGCATTTCTGAAGTATCTGGTGTTCTCATTTAGGGTCCCCTCTGGGGTCTCTTCTCACATAGTTCTTACTATCCCTAACAGTATTATTAGATTTATACAAAATCTACTTTATTTGAACTATTACAGTAATATTTGAATGCTCATGGCCTGTGCTGGTTTAAAATTTTAACTGAAGTGTCTTTTCACTTTCAGTGTAGCATCCTTTTGTATATTCAGCTTAAGGAGGAGTTTCCTATCAGGGGCCATTGAAGCACTAGGGTATTCACCATAACAAAGGTATGCTCATGTCTCAGGGTGGACAAAGGCAAATTCTTGGGAATGAATCAGGAAGAACATCAAAGATGAGGTGCCTAAGGTCACTATTACGAAGAATTTGGAGTGAAGAATTTGGAGTTTCGTGGGTGGACAAGAAGGAGGGATATTTCAGGGATGAATAAATAAGGAGAGATAAATAAGAATAGAAAGATGTGGATGCAAAAAGCCCTAAAGTGTAAAAGATGACCATGTCCTGTCTTGGAATGCAATATTCCAGAGTCTTGAAGCTCAGATGTTCTAAAATCATGCCCTTCTGCACTAGGAGGAAACACATTCTGCTAAGGCCCTTTATCCTCTGTGTTCTCCAAGAACAACTATACCTACATGCAGAGTTAGTCTTCTGCGTATTTTTGGTCCCACAGCTACTGTTTCTTTTCTGCATTCAGGGCTTGGTTTTTGTACAAGTCTGTAGAATACACAAGCCTGGTAGAATTCAATTTGAGTCCCTGCTGAGCCTCTAGGCCAGTCGTCTCGGCCACTGGTGGGATTTTCTAGAATTTTCTTCTCTATAAATGTACGGTAGTTTGACTATCCATTATGTGAGAACCTATAGCATCTACTTACCGCTATTTTATGTTTTCAAGAACCAAAAAATTTATGGAATAAACCTATATGCCTGAGAATGATAGGTGGATACTTAGTAAATGTTTGTAGAATAAATGATGACACCTGGACAATTACATAAAAGCGGTTTTTAACTGTGTCTTTTATTCTGTGCCAGGAATGATCAGCATCCTACAACTAATTTCAAGAAAACAATACCATGGCAAAAATTAGCTAGTTAATTGTTACATCAGCCAGGCATAAATTGGTTAGTGTTGGATGTAGTATATAATAGTGTCCATCGGTTCAAGTGAGAGTTACTCTAATGATGCTAAGTATTCAAAATACTGTAATTTTTGTTCTCCTACTGATTTACTATGAGCCACATTTTTCTGATTGCTCTTCAGATTGTTTGATTTATTTATGCAAAGTTTTGACATTGCTATTTTTTATTCCACACAAAAGGATACACTTAAACACTTTCAATTTTTAGCTTTGGTTTTTAAACTCCTAAAGTTCTAAATGAAGATCTTTTCTTCATGGGGGTGGAGAGGCATGGGAATTAGTGACAGACAGCAGTGACCTGGTAAACACTGAGTACTTATTGATAATTTTAATGTTGATTTCACTATCGTGACATAGCTAGTGCACTCAAAGACTAATGGAACAATCACAATAAAAACAGAATGCAGAACTTCAATAAAAACCAAAAGTAGAAATAAACCTTTCAAAATTGAACATTACAGTCTTCATTGCCTTATTTATTGTCTGTTTTGAGGGGAATATGTTTTTGATATTTACAAATATGGAGATAAAACTTGTGGTCTGTACAGTTTTCTCCAGTAATACTCTGTGTCCTATTTGCTGTCATCATTTATATAATGCCTCTTTTTTTGAAATGTATACAAAGTACATTCATTCTGCCATAGCAAGATATTTGCTATTGGCAATGAAATAAATGCAACTTATGTTATTCTATCTGGTCTGGTTTTTTATGCATTTCTAAAATTCAATAACATTGTACTTCAGCCTAGCTGCAAAATACCTAACTTAGAAACTGGGCTTAAAAGTGCTCCAGCTATGAGGGCTCAAAAAGTGCACAGAAGTTTCCTCTGGAAAAAAGGCATTGTGCATACACAGACTGCCGCAGCAGCGTCACTTCATGAGAGGATGGCAGAATATGACTGAGCTCAATTTGCATGCAGGTGGCGAGTCTCTGAAGTGGTATTAAGGGATGAACAGGGGTGGATTAATTTCCAGTCTTTGATATTCATTAACTCTAGCTTCGGAAAAAAAAAACAAGGAGATGACACAATTACCCTCAGAGTTTTATCCATGAGCAGGAGCTTTACAACCTGAAGTTCATAATGGCATACTAATTGATCAAGAAGGGGCACACACTTTTAGTGAAGAAATGCTTGGGCTTGACCATAGTAACAATGGTATTTGACTTCGGGAGGATCAATTCTACTTTGAAAACATCTAGAAAAAGAGTTACTTATTTTCTGTGCCATCTGTCAATGGCTACATCCCAAATAAAATCTGGTGCTAAAAGTACTGTTGGTCAAGATAAAATTACCATTTTATTTGACTCAAATAGTGTTTGGATTTATCACTGCATTTCTATTTCTAGATGCAAAACCTTTCAAGATGGATTCTTAGAAGATACTTTAGAAAAGAGGACAACTTTAACCTGGCATGGTGGCATACACTTGTAACCTGAACGTTCCGAGAGGCTGAGGCAGGAGGATCCCAAATTTAAAACCCAGTCTGGGAAATTTAGCAACTTAGTGAGACCCTGTCTCAAAAAAAGTGTGGAGAAAGTAGCTCGGTGTAAAGGCTATGGGATCACTGATCCAAGATGTGAGTGATGGACTGCCAAACAATAAAAAACAGATGAAAACCTTCTGATCAGGAGGAAGACTAGAAGTTATCAGATCTCTCCTGAAATGAGGTTACAAGAGGAAAAGAGAGTGATTATAAGGAAGAGGAATGTGCTGGCCATGTCTAAGAATTAGCAATGAACAATCATTGTATTGATGCTTATTTACCTCTGGAGAGTCAAAGACTTCAGGGTCACCATGTATGGCTGGAGGAAAGATGGCTACCAAGTCTCCCTTTCGCAGACAGAGGTCGCCCGTCTCTGAACTGAGGATAAAGTCCTCTTCAACGAAACGAATAGTGCTGGAATATGAGGACAGCCGAAGGGCCTCGAAAATGATGCTTTCTGAAGGAAACAAACAGTGATTGCTGAAATATGACTGCTTCTGAAAAGAGCTCTCAACTGGGCATTAAAGCTCATTACGAATAGCCTTAATTGAAAAGGAAACCATTTCTTATCACATCCACTAAGCCCCAAGTGGGAGCCCATGCTGGCTGCCGTGGCAAGGTAAGGATGGGGTGGCCCAACCCCAACACAACCCGGGAGCATTGAACAGGGAGGAAGTAGCACTGCAGTATTTGGCAGAGAAAGCCACTGATTCGGATTTTTATAAGAGAAAATGATCTACAAGAGAGAATGCTGTGGTAAAAGTACAGCTATTGGAAGGTAAAATTACATCCCACTTACAGCTCACTGCTGGTAGATTATTTCACCAGCCTTCAGACAGGCTTAGCCATTTAATAACCATTTAGGCAGTTAATAGTAAAGTAATTGTAGTGGTGCTTTCTGAGACAGCTTAGCACTTAATTTCTTTTATGCTAGCTGTAAATAAAATGTGAGTCAGCGTTTGCTGGAAAAATTTCAAAAGAAAAATACTTATATAGGGTTTAGAAAAAAAACCTCGTATTTTCTGCAGCATCTAGAGAAAATAACAGCCACCATCATATCCTAGAAGATTCCAGAAGCTGAATGTCCTTGCTTTCCCAGTGGCCTTCACCTTTTGCTCCTAGCACGACAGATTTTATGGCTAATTTCCGGCAATTTATCCTGGCAGTTTGAGGAGGAATTCCTTTGGGAATAATATGCATAATTTGCATAAATCATTCTGATAGCATGCATATCAGCGTGTAGCTCCTGTCTCGGTCTGCATCTCTCCCTTCATAATCAAAACTGACTATGTTTCCACCAGCGTGAATGGGTCTTAGAATATAAAGCTTGATTCTTTCTAATCAGCAATGTGAAAAAGAGCTCCAAATGGAGTTTTTTCCCTCTCCCTTTTACATGCTAATAAAATAGTTGTGTTTATGACTTGCAATTTGAAAATCAGACACACACACACACACACACACAGCCCAGTTTCGTAGTGTTCACCAAAACTCAGACACACTCAGTACTCAATTATTAGATTACTAAAGGCAGGCCCTTCAGAAAGCTCACATCCCACAAAAAGCAAAAAATGTTATTTCAGTAAATTTTAAATCTATGCACAGCTTCCATAGGGATATGGAGTTGCTTTGGGTGCCCTCTCCCAGGAGGTTTTTCCTTAAGCATGCATTTGTCTAAAGAAATGAGGCTGCGGTCAGCTCCTTGTGGGCAGTGTGGTGATTCAATGTGACGTACAGTGAGGCTGTGCATATTCTCTTGGACTGCCTTCGTTATTATAATCAGGCAGAGTCAAATCGGTTTGCTGGTGATGAGGCCAGAAAAGAACTTTGGTTTTGGAACATGGACTCTACTGCGGATAGCCACAAGGCACCTGACACGACGGATTTCAGTTGGCAGGACACCAACAACCAACATTTCTATGGTGAAAAGCATGGCTCAGCTTCCCATGTACTGCTGCTGGCCCTGGTGGACCAACAATAGCATTGCATCATTTTAGCCTGTGGTATGAAATGGTAGATGACATATGTAGCGGAGCTGTTCACCAAACAAGTTCAGTAGGGGTGTGGGAAGAAGAAACGTAAAAGCAAAACAATGGTGAGGTGGCTGCTGTGACAGGCCAGGCATTTAAGAGTCTGAATAACATGGTCACATCCCATTGGCCCATGTGCTCTTGGGGAGCGTGGCAGCTTGTGCCCACCACAGTATCACAAATGACAATTGGGCAAGCATATCTTATGCAGAAGTTAATCACAATAATGGAGCTCAAAGTGTGGCTCAGCAGTCAGATCGTAAGTGACAAATCTGTTTTACTTTCCAGTACCAGTTATGTGTGCAAGACGAGATTGGCTCTAGCTCTGAGCGATCATGCCGATAATCATTAGACGACAAAAGTAATGAGTTCGTTATTATCAACAATGAAGAGTCGCGCTTATGGTATCCTGCAGTCCAACATACAGACTCAGACAACAGCAGCTTTCCAGCCACCCTCAGTATAAATGCAAGCAGAGCTATACATTGAGAAGAATGACAACTGCACACACACACACACACACACACACACACAATTGCAGCCTCTACTTGTAGTTGTCATAGTTGAGCAGACACCAGCCAGTGCCACTGACAGACCAGCTGGGCCCTGGGAGGACGTCCATGCTACACCAGGAGGTACAGTAAATTATCCTGCACGGTAGAGCAACATCTGTTTCTGTGCTAGTGCCGAACAAACAAGGCAATTTAAAACATACCAAGGGATAACCAAGCAACAAATGAACATGACCCTCATTTTTTTCCCCTTCTCACACACGAAGTGCTAAACTTCATTGTGCAAGCATTTCATGAAAGAGAAGCCAGGTTTTTATTTGATAAGGTGTTGTCAGAGAGATTTTACATATCTCCAAAATGGAAAGAAAAAGCTTATAGTATTGTTATTCTTAGAATCGTCCCCTTTCTATCTTCATTTCTTTTATACCAAAGCTAGCACTCAGTTCTCAATTCGCTCTAGAATTAAAAAAAAAAACCTTTCCATATACTTATAAATATTCAGTCTTTAAACCTAATTTGCTATACTTAGTTCACATGCCTTCAAGCATTTGTCTTCCAATTTCCACTGAATAAATGCGTACTAATGAGAACTAGAGCAAGCTGCTGAGGCAAAGCTGGGTGACTTGGGTCTGGCCTGCCACCAGCTTGTGATAGGCGGGCAAATTGAGTTAAAATGAAAAGTCTTGTCAGCTGAAATTCAACATGGTAGCCAAACAGCAAGCTGTCAATCATACAGCCAAAACAAGGGACTGCAGGTAATAAAAGGTCATTGTGAATCATTAGTGCATTCGCTTTCATATGGAGGTTAATTTTAATTAAACATGATCTCTATCTGTAAATGTTTTATATAACTTATTGTGCATAATGAATTGTTAATTTACACCAACATTTAGCAGGTAATAGGACCCTTTCATTATTAGAATGCATGGTAGGAAAATGGCTATCAGGAATGCAAATATTTTGGGGATAGAATTTACACCAGGCCCTACAAGGTGCCAACAATCACAACTGGGACTGAGATCAGACTGCCTGTGCTGTATCACGAACCGAGTTTTAGTGACTGGTATCCACGAGGTAATTGGATTTCTAAATCCTGCACTGAACTCACAATTCTGAACCTGCAATACATTCTTCTTCCACCTATGGTAGAGATGTTTATCTTTTCAGAATATAAAACTATTCTGATTAAACAAAGAACTGGCGACGGTCTACATAGATGCTTTACAATATAACTGGAAGAAAATGGCAAATCAAAGAAAATGCTGGTAGAAAAAGGCGCACACATTTTCTCTTTAGACCTCTGATCTTGATTCTGGCTGCAATAATTGACAGATGATTCTCATTTGCAGATTTAAAGTGCTAAAGCAGAACATGGCAATCAATAATGCATATTACAAGCAAACACAAGCACATCCGGTTTCTTCCTCACACTTAAGCCATGTCTGTGTATGTGGAATGAATGCACTGTGACACGGCCAGGCTGTTAATTTGGGTCATCCTACTGATTGGTGCAGGCTGGCATGCCTTCTGATTAGCCACGGTGATCAGGGATGGCTGGACTAAAATGAACAGCAGGCCCTGCCACAGTCGCTTGGGCTGAACACTTGGGTGGAAGAGAGAGGAGAAAGGGGAAGAAGAGGACGGAGATCTGGAAGCTACGATGAAGTGGAGTGAGGGACAATAAGTGCATGTGTGCATGTTTCTACATAACTACCGGCCAAACAGATGAAAAGGTATAGAAGGAACTGTGATAATCAAATAATCTGTAGCAAAACCACAAGTTTTGGGTTCAACAATTAAATATTTGAATAAAGTTAAAATAAACCTAGATTATTAGAAATGTCTACTTTCACATTGCACTGCACGTACGCGCTTTAGCTTATTGCTAAAGTATATATATATATATAAATTCAACGTAGTCAACAAATATTTGTTAAGGTTCTAGTTTGCTCAGGACACTGGGTCACTCCTGTTGCTGAGAAAAGGGAACACAACAGATGGATGTGACCCACACGCATATGGCATCTAGGTAGTTCAAAGTCACAAAGTACACATAAGCAGGAATGTTACCAAAGGCCTACAGCAGATACTGTACAAGTTTTTAAAATTGATAAATAAAAATCTATATATTTATGTTATACAGAGTGTTGTCAAATATATATACATATATATGCTCAATTAGTCTAATAGACAGATGCACTGCCTCATATATTTATCAGTTATTTGTGATGAGAACTACTAAAATCTATTCTCTAAACAATTTGATGTTGCATAATTTCATACAGGATAACTCCAATGGTGGCATTCTGCAAGCCCATTTTAGTAGAACACTATTTTTCAGATGGTAGTGAAATTTCCTTCCCTTAAATTTTCAGCCTTTATAAAACAGATAGGCAAAAATTCTTTTCCATATAACAGACCTTTAAATATATGTAAAGACAACTACCATGCCATTTTCTAATCGTGTCAGGAATATGTAGTATTCAGTCTTTTGACATGCTGGATGAAATCAGTTAGTCAACATGTCTCTTAAAATGTGGCAGAATTAGGTGTACTATTTCATTGGGAAAATTATTTTCTGTGTTCTCAACACCATACACCTACTGATATTTCCTGGGAGTAGATGAGAAAAATATTTTTGAAATAGCATCTCCATAGTTTGTTTTAAACTGATATCCCAGAGGCTATTAGCAGTCCAGGCTATCCATTAGAGTCCCTGGGGGTTGTTGGAAAAAATAAATGCTTCATTGAGCCCAGCAGAATCAGAACTACTACCTTAACTTAATACCTTTAAATTAGTGGTTTTGAACCTTGACTACAAATTGCAATTACCTGGGGAGCTTTAGAAACCATTAGCCTTCAGTCCAAAATAATGAAATCAGAATCTCTGGGGGAGGACCAGGGATAACGGGTTTTTT